AGTCCTAGTAAACCAAACCTGAGGAGGATTTGTCACCTTTGAACAGTAAGTGTCATTTTCACCCTGAATGATTGGATAAGCTTTCACTTGTACTGTAACTTGTGAGTTGAAAGTTTCTAATCCATCAAAGAATATACCCGCTCCATCACGTTGAACTGGAATAGTGCATAAGAATGAAGTTTGGTCTTTCCATGTTCTAGCTAATGGTGTGCCATTATCATTATTCAGTGGTCTAGTTAATGAGTCCTCGTATTCTTCTGTGCATTCATTCACTCCATCTAAATCAGAAGCTTGAAGCATACGTGTAAAGAATATGTCGCCCACTGTGGTCATCGCTTGATCGGGGAAGTTTCTGGAATCTATAGTGACCTGAAGACCTCGAAGCATTGGATTTTCTAAAACCGTTCTTTGCATTGCATTCTTCGGAAATGTTAACACAACATCTGTAACATTATGAAGAGCGTATGAGAAATCTGAGCTGATACCTTCAGGAGTGATGCAACCTCCATTTAGTGAACGAACGTCAATATGTTGAGCTGGAATCATGAATGGATCTTCCTTACTGAATAAACGTGGTATTGCTTTAACTGATTCTTCAATTAAACCGTATCCTGGTGTAATGCATTTATCCTCTAAAACTTCCATCTTTGTGCATGAAATAATAACGTCATCAACTGTTGCGTCAGCAGATGTAGCGGCTAAGCTTGTAATTAATTTGGTAGGAAGTCCGATTTGTTGGAATTTGCGATCATATTTATAAACATGATTCATAATCTTTTCATAATTTTCATCAGTTATCTTTTCATAAACGTAATTTTGTAAATCAGCAACTCTTAACGGGTCAACCTGACAAAATACTAAAGTATCCCTGAAAACATAATATTTAAGAATGATATCACCAAATGATTTAGGATAATCATCGAACGCCTGAAATGCTAACAAATCATTTACCGGAATAATCATATCAAAAGTGACATCAACTTCTTCATTTGCTTTCTTGAAAACTTCTGAAGGGTCAATATATTTACCACATACTGAGTTATCATATTTTTGAACATTATTATATAACGAATGAACAAACTTTTTAACTTTCCTTTCTGATTTTGGTTTATATGTTGCAAATGCGAAAGATTCACGGGCGCAATCCATCTGAAGATAACCGGCATCACCTCTTTCAGTTTCTACTTCTAATTGTTTAAAGCTTTGATTTGATGATTTGTAACCAACGAATAAACGCATGCATTTAAAAGCGGCATCACATGTGAAAGCTTTATTTGAAACTAGAGTTGCTTTAACTTTGCGTTTAATATATGTGTCACCTAATTGATTCACATCATGAGCCGGATTTGTAATTCTTAAATGAGTTTGTTTATCATCAAAATATGGAGCATCAGAGTCATAGCATGAACTTTCAAGTTCTCTATAATATCTTCTACCATCATTCTTTGCGAATATTTCATTTATCTTTTCGAATGAATGAAATACATTTCCATTAATCGGTTTGGTGTTTGGCACCAAATAGTTAGTCGTCATTTATTAATAAATAAAAAATCAAAATTAAAAGATGAAAATGAATTTTTAATTTTAATGAAATAATCAACTATGGCTGCAGGATTCTTTAAGAAACTGTGGGATAAAGTAAAAAGAGGAGCGCATAAAGTTTGGGAAACAATGAAGAAAGGAGCAAATTGGATATTTAAGAATAAAGAAGCAATTAGTGACGTTGCTGAATCAATAACACCAAAAGCTGCCCCAATAAGAGAAATATTAAATAAAGGAGAAAAAGTTTATCAAAGACTACAACCGATACTAAGATAAAAATAATTTATTTTTCCACTATCTACCTCCTATTTTATTAAGTATTCCTTCAGCAATTCCACCAACTGCGTTACCTGCTTGTGCTCCCATCGCCGGATTACCTGCTTTAGTACCTAATACTCCACCTATGATAGTTCCTGCCGTTTTCGCTACTGGTGCCAAAAAGTTTGCAACGGGTTTAATAATCTTTTTATAAACCCAACCCGCAGCTTTCTTAATTCCATCCCATAATTTTTTAAAGAATCCTGCCGCCATTTCTGATTTAATATTAATTAAAAAAATATATTTCATCACTTATATTCTAATTTTTATTTAATGATAAATGAAACCGATTTTAAAAATAAATGAAACAGAGGAGGAAGAAATAAATGAAAGTGAAAATGTTCAACAAAAAATAAACGTTGTTAAACCAATTACTGAAATAAAAATTTTTTCATCTGTTGAAGAATTTAATGACTATTATGCTAATAATAAAAAATTATTTGAAGAATTGACAACGTGTAAATTGAATAAAATGTTTAAAGTTGATGGATTCAAAATTTCAAAAATAAAGGGGGTGATTAGTTTGAAATCTATTCCTCAATCAAGAATCACCTCATTAATGAAAATTGATGATTTAACAAAAAGAATAGAAGAGATTGAAGAAAGAATGAATCAAATAATTGATTTCATAAATTCAAATAATCATTAGTTTCTTAAAGTTCTATGTTGATTCTGAGACATGAATTTTTTTATTTCATTATGGTAGTGAATCTTTCATTCGTTTATGAGGTCTTTGATTATGACTCCATTGATTCCATTCATGATTTAAACAATGTTTAATTAATCGCGGAATATCTGACATCATCTATATATAACTTCTTTTATAAAAGATGAAATAAATTATTTTAAAATTAATGTTAATTTTTTAATGATTTATTTTTCATTCATGAAAATAATTATTTCTAATTTCTTTTACTCTCTCGTATATACTAGATTTGAAGAATTCAGATTTTTCCCCATAATCTCCTAAATGTTTTCTAATCTTATCGGTTTTCCATTCATAATATGAAACTGTATAAACTTTATCTTTATCTTTACACCTTTCATCACTTCCAATATATTTATATCTCAGTTTTGATTTAGCATTTTCATATTCATTAGCGTTTAATAATTCACAGTCTTCCTTTTTAAATATATGTTTAAGATATTCAGGATTAACAATTCTATAATATTGCTTCCCTTTAAATCTTTGAATATAAACAGGAACACCATCCTCTAAAATTCGATAATCTATTTTATCTGGTTTTACTTGTTGGGTCATTTATGTAAGAATAAAAAAATAAATATATTTTAAAAATAATGTTAAAAAAATGATACAAAATCGTTCGATATTGTATGAATTCTTACGTTTACAAAAAAAGTCACACAACCCATCCATATATACTACTATGTTATGAATTCATATACAGTATCATAAAGATAGCAAAAAATACATTGTCATTTTGAAATTATGATACAAAGGTTCTATTATTGGATTTTATCTAGTTATTGTAAGAAATCAATTTTTTAATGTTTTAATACAAAAACTCTTTCTACTAGGGAAAACAACAATAAGAAACAAGAGAAAATATCCACTAAGTTCAATCATTGAAGTTTAGAGAATCTTGAATTTTAAAAATTTTTAAAGTTCGAATGCAAATAACAATCAAATTAATATTGTGTTTATAATACTATGATTTTATCAATGAAATAAAGAAGGTTTTATAAATTGCAATCATTTCATTAGTTTGTGTACACATATAAAGCTAGATAGTACAATTCCACTATCAAAAGAGTAAGATAAAAGTGGAAATCCCCTTAATCAACTAACATTTATAAATAAAAAATTGAATTTCAAAAATGAGGATTTTTACTTATTATGGAAACCGAATTCCCATTTAAAATAGCAATAAGTATTACATGAATTTAGGGCATATAGTTATGTGTGCGCATTATCATAAATTCTTTGGGCATTAACAATATCTTTGCTTAGCTATAAGGTGGTCATTAATAGCTTTAATGCATCAAAAACTTTATTGTGTGATCAAATAATACTACTAAAAAATATTAAAAAAAAGGAAAATTAATTAATAATACAACTTTTTATTCATATTTTTAATACCTTAAATTGCTATATGTAAATGCATTAGTGACTCACCCTTAGAAGCAACGCTTCAGATGTTTTCTATGATAACATAGATTCAGGTCAGCATAATTTATTGGATTTAGTGCCGTAATGAACTGTTCAAAAGGCGGAGGCCCGAATGGTATTAAACCCAGTTCCCCTAAACTACCTTTCTCTAACACCGAATCCTTACTATGCCCGACACAGCATCTGATATGCGATTTATTACGCCGAAATAATCCAATAAAAGACTATTATTAGGTGATGATCACATATTGCATCAATCAATCAGAAAAGTGACAGACATTTGACTCTCAATTTAAATTCAATGAAAATTTTTACTATATATCAATGATTATATTTGATGAATTTCCACTAATTCACGTATCTATCACAAGAACATATCTTTTACTAATTCAGATGTACTTTCGATGGTAAAAAAAAGAACCAACCACTCCATATCAATTGATTCTATGAATATAGTTCAAGGATCATACATAATTAATAATAATATTCTTTATTTTCAAAAAGGTACTTTTGATGGGCCAAAAATTGAAAATTTTTAATTTCTCTGGTTTCTAGCTAGAATCAATATAGAGTTCATATGTAAATAGTGAAACTACTACTGTGTGGAAAAAACACCAAAGTCCCCCACTTAAACCCTATATATATATATAAAGAAATAACATATTTCTAATGACTTAGAAACTAGCCAAATAATACAGTATTTCAAAAGTTCTTTTCACTTATAGAAGAATTTCTAAAGGTAGTTCCACAAAATCGTAACGATGCTTTCTTGATTTTGGCAATGTATTTAGACAATATGGATACTAGATGAGTCATAGACGAAGGATAAGAGAAAACTTCAATATCTCTCCACAATTAAAAGAAGTTTGGCGTTTTATTTCTGGGAAAAATCCACTTGTTGTTCTTGTGAATTTTTTTGATGCTCCATAATTAGCCCGATTCCTATATATTACCTTGGGATTTTGGAAAAAAAAATAAATAAATAATAAACTAAAAATAGAAATATAGTTTACAAAATAATAACATTATTTGTCTTTTTTGGTGAGGAATTAGGGGTTGAAACAGCAGACACTTTCTGGAGTGAAGGGTATTTACCAATCCTTGGTGACAGAATTGAATTTTTCTGAGGCGTCGTTGCTTTTGTATTTATCTGCAATACAGTTTTGACGGCTCTTACCAAGCTTATGAAACCAAAATTATTTGTCTTCTGAGCATTTTGAGCAGCATTTGCTAAGGCCTTCTGTTGTCTTAAGTCCTCAACTATTTGTACAAGTTTCTTTTGGTTTCCCATGTTGAACACAACATCCGATATCTTTCTCATCAATTCCTCGTCTGGCAACTCCCTGTTTGTCTGTCTTCCGCTTATTCTCTTCACGACCAAGTCCTTTGCCCACTCCTTCCACTTTGATGCATCTCCCTTTCCCTCTCCGGCCTTATCCTTCTCTGTCTGTATATTTTTATCAGTCCTGAATGAGCTTCTGAGTGCAGGCGAGTTCCTCTGGCTGAGCAATGCGAGAGACTTAACCTTTCCCTCTAGTTCTGTGTTCAGCTGCATAAGCTCTTCTATGCGTGACTTGCAGAGCACGTCGTTATCTTCAGCCATTCTGATTGTGCTCTCATTTTCTTGCTCGAGTTCTGTTATTTTCATTTTGAGCGCGTGTTCTGTCTCTTCCTTTTCCTCCCTCAATTTCTGCAATGATACCTTTATCTCTGATAATTTCTCTCTCTTTCTTCCGACCTGGTTCTGCAGCTCTGACAGTTCCGCTTTCTGCTTTCTTTTGAGTGCGTCAACTTCATCGAATCTTAACTGTCTCTCGTTTTCTAGCATCTGCTCAATCCTCCTCTCGTTTACTTCCTGTCTCTCCTTCAGCAGCGCCTCCTGCCTCTTCACCTCTGACTGGAGGCTCTTGATGACGCTGACGTACTGGTTCTGTCTCTCCTGTATCTTCGTGTTCTCCCCTTTCTCTATCTCTATCCTGTCTGTCGCCACTTCCAGCTGCTCAGTCAGTGCTGAGTTCTGTTTCCTCGTCTTCTCCAGTTCGTTGAAGACCGTTCTGAGCTCGAATGCGATCTTCCTCAGTTTGTCGTTGAGAGCTTCGTTTGTCTGCTTCACGTCTGCGAGTTTGGAGTTCAATTCCTTTATTTTCAGGGAGTTCTCTTTCTTTATGACTTCTATCTTCTCCTCCTCGCGCTTGAGAAGGCCATCAATGTATTCACCAATTTGTGACGGGATTTCTACGACTTTTCCGGCAAATCCAAGAATTGGACGAACTTTTTGGTCGAGATCTTGGATGAGTTTGGAGCAGATATCGACAAAAACTTTGATTGTGTCAATCTCGTTGAGAGAGTTGGAATCAATGTGCACAACAGTCATGATCTGCTTGACAAGCTTCTCTAGACCAGTCTTTGTGTCAATTACAAATCTGGAAATCTCTGATGGCAAATCTTCGTTGGAGCAGATAAGAGGTATTTGTCTCTTGGCTGGATATAGCGCTTCAAGAGATTTCTTAGATAGTTCCAGAACTTTTGAGGCACAATTTGTAGAAATTAGTGAAATTGAGAGTTCGTTTTGGTTTTGAATATTGAAATCCTTCTTATTTAGAAGGCCAATAATAGGATCTTCCTCATTGTTGTCAATTATTTGCAAGTAATCTTCTCTGATTTGGTTCAGCTTTGACATAGCATCAAGTTTGAGATTTTCATCGACAACAATAGGAGAATATGATGACGTGAAGTGTTTAAGATCAACTTTACCATTGATCAGGTCAAGACAGAACTTTGTCAGAGAATCAATTAAATTTACTGATTCAGAGTGGTTCGAATTCAACTCTGAGGACTCAAAATCTATGTCCCTGGTCAGAACTGTAGGGTCATTGTGGCAGAGGCTTGATATAGTCTCTGGCAACTGTTCGGCTGTAATTATATAATTTGGTTGGAATGCAGTGATGCAATCTATAACTAACTGGCGAAGATCTTCTAACTCAGCATGATTTTCATTGGATTCTTGTATCAAATCGTCGTTTTGGTTGATTGTGTCAGTTAATTCGGAAATTTTTGCATTTAAAAGTCTGATTTTATCATCTTGCAATTCTAAGGATGATTCGTATTTCTTGATGAGTAGCATTTGCTTTTGAAGTAAGACTAAAGCCTCATCTCTGCTCTGTCTGAGAGGAATAATTTCTTCATTCAAATTTTTCACAACGTCTTGCATTTTCGCTGATGCCATTCTGTATGTATCTTCTATTGATTGTTTTTTATTCATGCTATTTAGTTCTGATTTGGCTTTTTCAAGTTGCTCAGAGATTATTTTGTTATTTTCAACTTGAGTGCGTAGTTCTCTTATCGTTGAGGATTTCTGTTTTGATTTATCGAGAATCTGTTGCTTTTCTTGTGTAATTTTTGTGATTTCTGATTCTAAATCTTTAATTTGAGAATTTAATCTTGTATTTTTATCCATTGTTATTCGCAATTCATTTTGTGTTGCAAGCAATTGATCTGTGATATTTAAAATTTCGGCATTTTTAAGAGACATTTCATTCCTTTTTTTGGCAGCTAAAATTAATTTGTTTTGTAGGGCTTTTTCCTTTTCAACTCTAACTGATTCTAATTCTGCTTGGCATGATTGAGCATGCTCTTCAAGAGCCAAAATTCTATCTTTCAAATCTTTATTTTCTTCTTGTAGCATAGATAATTCAAGTTTGGTTTTATGTAGCTCATCTTGTTTGGATGAATTTAAAGCTAAACTAGCTCCTTTAGAAGCAATAATATCTTCAGAATACTCATTCAACATGTGTCGAATTGCTAAATCTACTAAATTGACTTTTTCTTCTCCAAGAATGTTTGTTGCAGCAGATAAAAGTAATGTTTTTGATAATTCTGCTAATTTTGTTAACATTGGAGAATCTTTAACAATATTCATGGTTTCAGGAGGAGCATCAGGGAAATTTGTTTGAAGAAGATCTCGTAGCATATTGAAAGCTCTCTCTTGAGTTTGTGTAGTCATTCCTTTTGAATTTTGTTTATTTTGTTTCTTTTTTTTTTCTTTACATTGGAAAATTGTTGATCAATTAAATGATAGTAGTGAATTTGTTTGTGGTATAATTAATAAAATTTGCTTACGAAATTAATCAATCTTGCAATATATATAAAGGTAACTAAACTCCTTTCGTCGATCCGATTTGCTCCATATTTAAAATATAGCTTGCATATGTAGAAGAAAAGCTAATTTTGAAGTACGCCCCAAATCCACCAACAGGATTTCGAGCTACTAAAAAGGTACTTTTAAATGTGATTTTTTTTATAAAAAATTAAATTTATTTTAAGATCAGACTAAAAACTAATTTTATGGAAAATCTATATCGACAAATTTATTACTTATTGGGTATATAGATTTTTTGATTATGGCGATTATGTCTGATATGCTTCCAATAAGCCAAAACACATTTCATACTGATTTCTATAAAAGGTATCTTTATTATAGAAGTGTAAGCTATATCTGTTTGTTTTTTTATTATAACAAATTCAAAATTCTCTTATAAGGACTAGATGAAATCTGTATTACTAAATCATTAGCTAAATGAAGGTTCAAATAGAAAGTAAATATCAATTTATATGATACTGAAACCAAATAGTTCTTTTAATAAAAGATAACACGCTGAAAATTATTGAGTATTTGCAAATCTCAAAAATCTATTGGTGAATTTGGCTCAACTTTTAAAATTATAACATCCATATCAAATCATAAAAGCAGACAAAAATTAAAGCCAAACCTATCGGCCAATTTTTTTTGATATTTTGATTTTTGAGGTATACTTTTAAAAGTGGATTTAAAGCACTTATGAAAAAACATTAACTTCTGTCGTTATGATTATTGATTTAAACAATAATGATTTTAATCTTTGATTATCAAAACACTAAAGTCATCTTTTTAACATTTGCTTGGTAGCATTAACTCAAGTCTAAAGTACTATTTTATGTGGCACTCTTAGAATTTTTGTATTCATTGTACACGCTGAAATAGTACCATTAAAGTTATGGCGGACTTTCAAAAAATAGTTTGGTCACCTTTATATATATTGTTTTTTTTATTATTATTATTATTATTATTTATTTATTTATTTAAGGGGGATTAGTCAAAAAATAAAATAATCTTGGGGAATTAATTAAAATATGTTGAGATTTATTAAAACCGTCTAATAGCAATGAATTCTGAAAATGAAAAGAGATTTTGATAAGAAATCAGCTTAATTGGTCAATATACATTTAATTATTTTTATAAGAAAATATAAAATAAAAAAATGTGAATTTTCAAAATTTGAGAATGGTACGTTTTATCTTTTAAAAATTATAAAATATGATGAATTGACTTATTCATTTTTATTAGAAATGAATATGAATATAGTAAAATTTTCAGAATTTTCTCTGAATTAATTTCATTCAAATTCATATAAAATTAACATTGTTTAAATTTATTTAAACAATTAATATTACGTTTAAATTTTCTTTTAAAAATTTTGAATGATACTCATACAATTTTATTTATTTATGTTATTTGATTTATCTAAGCTAATATGTCAAATATTTTATTTAATATTCAATCAATAAATTTACATTGACCAGCCAAACTTAAAATATTCGACATGTGTATATGTGTAGTTCACTAATATCAGAAATAACTAAAAGATTCAATGAGGTTAACAAATTTTTCAAAGAGAGTTAACAAAAAAAGTTTTATGAAAAAAGAAACAAAAATGTCTGTGCAATTGTTAGAAAATATCTTAGAAGAAGCCAAGAAACCATCTGGAACTTGGTCTTATGAATTTATTACAGAGACACATAGATCTATTAAAAGGCTGCGCGATCGTGAGTTTTCAACGATAGTTATAGGTTTATCTGATTTTTTCGAAAAGAGCGAAGACAATGTACTAACTAAATTTAAAATTGCTCAGCTGTTAAGTTCGATAAAAATTCAGAACCCTTCAAGGTGTGAAGAAGTTTATCAAATGGTAAAGGAATCATTGCTTAAAGCATCATCTGAATTACCTGAAACCCAACTCTCAATTCCATGTCGGAAACTTATCGAAACGTTATATGATCAGCGAGAAACACCAATTCGTCAACATCATATTAGAGCAATGTCCAAAGAGCCAACATGCGTAGTTACTAGATCTACAAACCCTGCTCCTAAAGCAACCACACCAGATTCTGCAATGCTATAGTTTTCAATCAATTATGTGATTTTTTTTTTGTTTTTTGTAATTAAAATGTTTGTATACTTTCGAATTACTGTTTGTTAAATTTAAGAATAGTCTTTACAATTTATATATAAAATTGTTTCCAATTTGAAAAATTGTTAATCAATTTTTTTATTTTTCAAACCTGTTAATTTAACATTATATCTCAGTTATCATTCTTTATTTTTGAATCAAGGGCATGTTCGAACAGTTTAAAAAAACAGATGAAAGATTCATAATAATTCAATCAAATTTCTGTCAAATCTTGAATCCTTGAAAAACCGAATTTTATTCAAAAATGTTCATTTTTCAAAGAATACTGATTTTATAATTTATAGATATGTCACCTTTTCAAAAAATCGTAAAAAATTGCCATCCAAATTCTTCGTTAAATAAGTATCTATTGTTATTGATGATGATTAATATTGATAATAAAATGAAATGGATTCGAAATATTTCATATATTTCAAAGGTTGCTTGCTTTTATTTAATATTTTTCAAAAAAAAGGAAAGAAGTTATTTTAAAGTAATAAAACAAATAATGTTATTGATGGTTTGTAAGAAAACACTCATTTTTAAGTCTATATCTGGTTTTAAATAGGTCATTAGTTTTGATTCCTTTTTCATTAAAAATTTGGCAAGATGTTGATGTATGATTTATTTGGTTTGCTAACAAAAAAACTGAACAAGGAATTGTGGTCTTATTTAAAATCTTATTCATTGCACATAAATTTAACCTATCTAATTACCTTTGTAGGCGTACATAGTTATATAAGTAATTTCTAAATAAGTACTTCAGATAACAAGATACAAGATCAAAACTCGAGATAAATTGATAGATCTTTCAAAATTGAGAGTACTATTAAAATTCCCCTGAAAATATGAAATTTGATAATTTTAGTGCACCTTTGCATAAAATATAGCTTATTGATCTTAACATGATTCTCTCATTTGAAAGAAATCTCATTTATCCTTTCAGACACGTATAAAATAACCAGTCTCAATTGTCCCGTCACTTTTTTGGAATAATGACAGCATCACCATACCGTCACGTCTATGCTGAACTTGCCAAAGTTGAGAAATCCTATCAGGAAGTTAACATCTCAACTACATCTGTCGATACAAACCTCCTTGCAGCTAACTATCGCTATGTTGCTTATCCAGTTGAAACTTCTGGTGGTGGCCTCTTTGCAGTCCTTCCAGCTAATGGTTACGGAAAGGTTGGAACGACAAATTCTGTCTTCCGTGGCCACACAGGTGGTGTCCTTGATGTTGATTTCAACCCATTCAACGACAACATCATTGCTTCTGCTGCAGAAGATGCTACACTTCGTGTCTGGCAGATCAAGTTCAACGGCACCGATGTCGAAGAGCAGAATGAATCCCTTGCCGTCATGAAGGGTCACTCACGCCGTGTTCAGCGCCTCACATGGAACCCAGCAGTCAACAACTGTATTGCTACATTTGGTGCTGAGAAGAGCGTCAAGGTTTGGGATGTCTCCAAGGCATCCTGTGTTTACACATTCAAGGCTGGCAAATATGATCTCCTTGACCTTAACTGGAACCAGAATGGAAACCTTCTTGTTTATCCAATGAAGGACAAGAAGCTCCACGTCCTCGATATTCGTGCAAACGCTGAAACTTTCGCAGTTAACTCTCATCCAGGTCTCCGTGGTGGCCGTGCTGTCTTCTACGATAAGCTCAACATGGTTGCTACAACAGGCTTCTCATCCTCCTCTGGCAGACAAATCGCTGTACGCGATATCCGTAACCCAGAAAACCCACTTGCTCAGATCGATATCGACTCCAACAACGGTATTCTCGCTCCATTCATCGATGAAGACACTGGCATCCTCGCCTGCTTCTCTCGTGGCGATACACTTATCCGCTTCTACGAATTACAGTCCGCTGAGAACCCACTTGTTACATGCAATGCTTTTGCTTGCAAGGAAGCTGTCCGTGCTTTCGCTCGTGCTCCAAAGTACTGTGTCGATACAAACGTTTGCGAAATCGACAGATTTTACATCATCAACCAGGCAAAGCAACTCCAGACAACGCAGGTTATCGTTCCTCGTAAGAACGCTGAAATCTTCCAGGAAGATATCTACCCAGAAACAAACGCACCAGTTCCAGGCATCGAATTCGACGCATGGAAGGCTGGTGGAGAGCCAAAGTTCCAGAAAATCTCTCTCGAGAACGGATACACCCCAGCTGACGGCGCTGCTTTCTCTGTCGAAGCCCAGGCTAAGGAGACTGTTGAGTCTCTCAAGGAAGAGAACGAGAAGCTTCGTACAAGAATTGCTCAGCTAGAGGAGGAACTCCGCCAACTCAAGCATTAAGAGTTTATTTTACTGCAAAAGAAAAAATAAACAAAGTTCACGGTTCATTCTACAAAATGCTGATTTTTATCTTTCTAATTTTTTAAAAAAAATAATAATTAATACATATATTTAACATGTTTAATTAAACAGATATAATTATATAATTAACAAACATAAAATTATCAATCACACTCTATAAAATTAAAGCGAAACCTCATTAGTTCCCCAGTTGAATTCGATATCTTCTTCTGGATCAGCAATATCATTTGTAATTGTAAATGGATCAGATGAATCACTATGATCAACTACATATGTAACGAAGCTTGCGTTTGTGTTAGTCGAAGGAGTAATTGAGCTGATGACTGTCTCCTCAATCTTGGAACTATATTCTGAAGACTTTGTCTCTGTTTCATCTTTCTTCTTCGAAAGAAGAATTGCAATAATGATAATTGCAAGAATGAGAATGAATCCAGCTACTGCACCAATGATGATATATATGAGTTTATTATTCTTCTTAGTTACTTGGTTTTCATTTTGTTCCTGATTCTTTCCAGAGGTTGATGATGAAGCAGTTGAGGGTTCTTCTGTTGGGTTGGATGCCACTTCTGTTGGGTTGGATGGTTCTTCTGTTGAGTTGGATGGTTCTTCTGTTGAGTTGGAGGGTTCTTCTGTTGGGTTGGATGGTTCTTCTGTTGGAATTGATGGAATTTCTTGGCTAGCAGTTTCTGATGGAGTTCTGGCAAAAGTTTCAAAGGCTGTTTCGTATGGTGTCTCCACAGCTGTTTGATATGGTGTTTCTAATGCTGTTTCAAAGGCTGTTTCGTATGGTGTCTCAACAGCAGTTTGATATGGTGTTTCAAAGGCTGTTTCCTCTTGAGTTGCAAAAACTGTTTCAACTGGTGTTTCAAATGCTGTTTCTGATTAGGTATATGAAACTGTTTCATATGGCGTTTCAAATGCTGTTTCAAAAACTGTTTCATATGGTGTTTCAACAGCTGTTTCAAATGGTGTCTCAACAACAGTTTCGTGCTGTGTTGAAGAAACTGTTTCATATGGTGTTTCAAAAGCTGTTTCTTGTTGTGTTGAAGAAACTGTTTCATATGGTGTTTCAACAGCTGTTTCAAATGGTGTCTCAACAACAGTTTCGTGCTGTGTTGAAGAAACTGTTTCATATGGTGTTTCAAAAGCTGTTTCTTGTTGTGTTGAAGAAACTGTTTCATATGGTGTTTTAAAAGCTGTTTCAAAAACTGTCTGATATTGAGTGTTAAATGGTGTTGATGATTCAGTCAATGCTGGTGTTTCAACAGCTGTAGAAAATGGTGTTTCTTGAGCTGTTTTGTCTGCTGTTGAAAACGGTGTCTCGAAAGCTGTTTCAGCGGCTGTCACCACCGGTGTCATTGCAACTGTTTCTACTGCTGTGTTCATTGGTGTTTCCATTACTGTAACTGGTGGTGTCTAAGTGAATGCATAGAAGCAGAAGGAGGAAACTTGATGATCAGAGACATAGCTGTTTTCAGTACTTTCGTTGATAATGGAACCCATGTTAGAATTGAAGTTCAAGTATGTTGAAGGTGAGAAATAAGAATTCCTAATAACTAATGAATCCGTAGATTCTTCAGCTAAAAAGAAAACAATACCCGTAGTTGCTTGTTTGTTATCTTGGAAGTTGCAGCTATCAACAACATCACCTGATTCCTTAACAATGGTCAGGGTTGATTTACCAGAGTTTTCACAAAATGTGTTATAGGTAAATTGAAAGTGTTTGGAAATGCAGCCATAGACTTCCATGCCAGAAGATTGACCTGCACATGTGCAACTGGATGTGTTTGTATCGGAAATACTAGTAACTTTGGAAACATCAAAGCGGATCATTTGGGTAATGGCGTTTGATGCTTGGCTATTGATGATACTGTTGCCCTTCATTGTGAGTGAGTCGGTTGGTCGAATGTACGAAACACTTCCACTTTTTGCAGCCTTTGAACCGTTGAAACAATTATACAAAACGGTAATCTTGGAGGCATAAAGATATAAAACGCCAACATACTTTGCAGAATAACAATCAGTAAAGCTGCAGTGTGTAAAATTGATAGGGTTTGTGTTTGAATTGAAATAAACAGCTCCTCCGGATTTGGCACTCCAGGAATCCTCAGCATTGAGGCTATGGCAGGATACGAAAGCACTATAATCGAATGAAGTAACGGATCCATCTCTCAAGCTTGAATCAGAATAATCTGTGGGTTGATCTGGATATTCTGAGTTAATACTTACTGCTGTGCGAGAAAAAGCTTTGAAAAGAGAATGATCTACCTTAAGATTAAGGCGCTTTGATGAGGTACTTAAAAGATTGGAAGAAAAATATTGAAACCTGGATTTTGAAATCAGTAAGTTCTTTTGCAAGGGAGATAATACAGGACTCATGTATGGACTCTGGGAAAAGGAACGTGAGATAGCTAACGAAAGTAAAGATGTGTTTAATGCAATTCTCATGCAGATAAGTGTAATGGAACATGATGCATTTTTACGTCATAACTATCTTTCAGAAATTTTGAGATAATAATATGAAAATAAATGGTTTTAATGATTGTAAGGTTTGGTGAATGTTGGATTATATTTCAATGTCGGCCACATATGCCGATCAAACCTAATTGAGAGGTGAATTGAATTTATAGGATGACGAACATTTGCATCATTTTTCATAATATAATTTTATTTTGTAATTTGTTTGTATTTGATGTGATATTATGATATTTTAAGTTTTATATTTTCTTCTCAAAATACTATAAATTTTGACCAATCTGATTTCTGGATGTCTTTTGAATTCAAAGTTATAAAATATGTATATACTAAGTCTACTGATAATATATTTTCTAGTTTTGGCTTGCTCAAAGTAATCGCGCGAACATGAATTTGATCTTCATTCATGTTTAAAAAACAATGAATCGAATTTAGAACTTGAATCTACTGCTTAGATAATAGTGCAATATTGATGATTTTGACAGAATTTTTTAAATATTATGTAAATATTATGTAAATATTGTAGGTAAAAATAACTTTTTTGCTCATTTTTATTATGATCCATGATATTGAACTCTGTAAATAGAAATTCAATTTTTTTTTTGGCATTTAGAATTGAGCCAAATAAAGGTAGCTCCACGAAAAGTAGCACCATTATTCTTCTTCTGTTTACTGATTACTCTCTTTCTGTTCGATATGTCTGAAATGAAAGAAACTAATAATGCATTCTAATTTATAAATCCAATCGGCAACTAGTATAGTTAGTTATATTTTTAGTAAAGCTCTGCATTATTCAGTTTAAGATCAACATTGTTAATTTTAATAATGAAATTACTTCATATTGAAAATTGAATATTAATTAATTTGTACTTATATTTGAAATCGTATTGGAAATGCAAAACATAACCTAAAGTACATTTGCTGTAAAAAAATGAAAATGCAAATAAAATTCAGAAATCATTTTATCTTTCCAATAACTTTCAAAAACATACCAATTCCATTCATATTTGGAGCAATCTTATTCTGTTTATTTTATTTATTTGAAAATCGGAAGTTTAAATTCATGGTGGTGCTGAATCTTTTTGACCTCATCAACAATTAATAGCATAGAGAGAAGATAATCCACAATTTTGCGTATCATGAAATTATTCTTCACCCAACATCCTCACATATTTCCATCAAAAAGTTATATTTTGGCAAAACAAAAATATAATATTTTTAATATTCACTTCAATATGCATTTATAATTCATCATCTGGTATTACTATATGGCATATATTAATTAATGATGTAAACTCCTTTTCCTTCGTAAAGTCTCTTATTCAAATTTTTGATAGAGTTCACTCAATATTGAGGCAGAAAAACGATAGGGAGACTTTACGTAGAGAAACGTGTTTATATTTTAGCAAATCTGGTCTCACTTTTTATCAGATTGAGAGGAATTTGGTCTTATTTGTAAGACATGTTAATTGAAGCTAATGTTGTTTTGTATTTTTTAGGCTGTATTTACATTGAATATTTTGTTTGAAATCCGCTTTTCTGAAGATATAATCGAGTTATTATATGGAATTACTAGTATGTTATTCGCCATTGTTGTGGTCATAAGTGCTTGAATAGAGGTAGGGCAACGATAGAAAATTTTTGGAAAAAAAGTTCGGAGATCTTAAACGTATCATATTCCCTGCATGGTTTGGTATCTTCCGCCATGCGTTGTGCCAAACATATTGACACTTTCCAATAATTAATTTATGGTATGAGTCACAGAGTTAGATTATAAAAAGAAAGTAAATAATTGCAATTAGAAATCATATATGTCGGAAATCAAATGTTGATGAGCAGAAACCTTTTACTCATCATAAAAGAGATAAATCACTAAAGATTTGTATACATTAAAATTTGATATTTGGTGCTCGAAAACTGTCTGATGGGACTCCTCCAAAATGAACCAATCTATCGCTGAGGACCAAATTAGATGATGTGGATGGTGTATTCTCTAATTCTAACTTAGGAAGAATGGGAACAAAACGAATGACGACAACAACATGTCAAACATAGATTAAATATCTATGAATCAATAAAGTATACGTGCATTGAAGGTGATAACGATCACTTGAGGCTTATAACTCTTTGACTAAATTATGCAATAATTAAATATAATCATTTTTATATTTTTATACTGATAGTAATTAATATACTATCCTGCTTAATAAATGGTATGATCAAATTTGTTTGAAAATTTAATTATGTATATGAAACTATGTCTTCTATATAAAAATCAAAATTTTCGGACGAACCTAGATTGAACCTTTATGAAAATCTATCATTTTTGTTAATTGAGTTAATATAATATTTTACATATGTATATATAGCATTGATAGCTTATATAATCATGGTTTATTCCATATTAACATATTTTTTCAGTTAAATTTGTTAATAATATCATGTAACAAATTAATTCAAGATTAGAATGTCTACAAAATGCTAACAAATAAGAACAAAATACGATTTCTCGACTTAAATTTTAATATGGAGTAGTTTTTGTTTAAATCTAATTAAAAATGAATAAAAACTTATCTTGTACTATTTTCATTCAAAGATTTTAATAATGTAAATCATGCATTTTCATAATTCAGTACAGTTCTTTTTAGAATTAAAGTTGATGAGGATGATATTTGTGATTTAAAATAATTTGTTAATGTTCACCTTTTATTCATCACCTTGTGGTATGCCCTAAAGCAATAGCATTATCAATTCTGCTGAATTGATCAACTCAAAATTCCAAAAAAAATTCAAAATTTCAAAAATGAAATTAAACAATTTGAATTTTCACATGAAAAAATCAATTTCGAAAAAAATTTTGGAAAATCAAAGTATTTGATAATTAGTCAAATAATCAATTTACATCGTTTTTACTCATAAAAAACAACTAATTTTTGATTTTGATATCATATTTGATAAATACTCATTCCAGAGTTGACGTAATGTATTAATTATTGTTAGAGATATTGCTTTCGCAGCAAAATTCTTATTTCATGAAAGAAAAAAAAATGATTTTATTCCAACAAAAACAAGTAAACAGATGAATGGAAACGTACTATATTTTCATAAATGTAGTAATCAGCGTGTCAGCTTTTGTTTATCATGTTCGAGTCAAAATGTATTAACTTGTAATAAGAAATATTCGAAGATTATATGAAGTATTGAGCATTCTTTGTAGAAATATTTGTAATTCATTACTAACATATATAATAAAGTTGTTTTTTTTTCCTTATTGCAATAATTTTGTCTGATTTTAATAACTTTTCATGTATACGAGTTGTGTGAATATGCATCATAATATGCGTAAATATACTTATTTGCGACGAATAATGTGGTTGCATAATGGAGGTGCTAAATTTTGATTTTTAATATGGGGCTTTGGTATGTATAATCATGTTCTTATCTCAACGTAGGAGTATTGGTGCAATATGATTAAAATTTACGAGGTTGATCTTAAATTGAATAATTCTGGAGTATAAATCACAATGCAGCTAATTCTATGTTAAAGATAGATACAGATTGTAGTAATCAATTAGGGAGTACAAATTCATTCTTTCATTTCTGTCGTATTGAGCAGAAAGGAAGAGATCATAACCCTAGGAAAAAAAGCCCAAATTTGTCACTTTTCATAGTCCGTTAAACTCAATTCGCTCGGCGAATGCCGAGCACACGTACTCATCATTCAACATAATATTCTCATTCTTTGGTTATTATAGTGCCAGACAACACAAGATTTCAAAGAATTACTTGAGTTTTCAATTAATCTTAATCCGATTTTAGATTTATCGAGAACTCCATCATCACAATCACATACTTCAGTGCGGTAACTACAATTATCCATATACAGAAGGAAGTTCTTTTCGAACAACTCATTTGGAGTCTGTTTTGGAAAGAACTTCTTTCTGTCCGACTTAATTTCATAGTTCCTGATCAACCAAAAGACAGAAACCACACACTATCTACTTAGGAAAGGAGTTCTTTCTAAATCTTCCTTAAATTGAGATTTTACGAGAGATAACCCTTCTATTGCACTTAAAAATGAACATTTTGATATCTTTAGTATCACACATGATCATATATAGTATTTCATCTACATGAATACATTCATCTTTCGAAGTCTCTCATTAAATGGGAGGCTTCGAAAGATGAATCGTTTTATTCATACAACTTTAAATCTCGAACACATTTAGAGTGTGAGTATATCATTTTATTCTTGTTTTGAGTTTATTCTGATTCAAAATTGCAGTGAAAACAGAAGTTCACACATCATATCTGAATGTGAGCTCATCTATACTTATACGATCTCAATACCTCCACTCTAAGCATAAGAGGTGAAGTTATATAAAAATTATCAGATGCGTTGAAGTCTCAAAAGTATTGCCTGAATGCTTGTTTCATATTTGTCCAAGTAGTTTCAATGAATAAATGTATTGTTTTTTATAATTTCGATTTATTTTTAGAAAATATTCAATATAACCTTTATTGTGTTATTTACATCTCATAAATTCTCTGTCTAAATCATATAAAAGCGCGTTTTACCCCTATGAATCAAGAAATTCATTCAATATTCATGGTATATTTATTAAATTTATACGATTTACTAATAATCAATATTATATCCTCATAAATAGCAATATATTTTGGTAATCTATGATAATCATATACAATATTTGAAATCAAATTTTCATTAGTTTAGGTTCCTTGTTAATAGTAAACCATTATATTTATTACTAATAATAAAATCTATGTGTCGTATTGAAATTCAATAAAATTACTTATTCGGTCCAAAAAAACAAATTAGATAAAATTTTTCTTTTTTTATGTAATTTTTGTTTTTCATTTTTCTCAAGATCCTAAGTTATGTTCTAACTTTTGACATCATATCCTATCATGCTAGGCTATATATTATAGTATAGATCTGCAATTTTCCCAAATGAACGGGGTGGATAAGATCCCAGCCCTATCGTCATCCCAGTGTCAATTTTACAAAAAAAATTCTTAATAAAAAATTTTTATTAAAAAATTCTTATCTTTTTTCATTGAAATTTAAATAATAAAATAAATTTGGCTGTAAAAACCATCAATTATTATAATTCTTATCGAAACACATGTAGAAAAACACTTATCTTTTATACTCTTTCTATTTGAAACCTGTTTAGTTCAGTAATTAATAATAAAAATTGTGAAAATAGTGACTATTTAACTAAAAATATATTAAATGATGTAATAATGAGATATACATATATTTTTACGAATTATAATTAGAAATTATTCTGGTCTGGGAATCCCAACCCAAAATCATTGAAAATTTGAATATATGGGATGGGCTACCCATCCCAAAACTATATTGAAATTTTTGAATTGATAATAAATGTATCTATATCTAAGGTATATTAGAGAATTTTTAAAAATTATGCATTAAAAAATTGAATTTATTCAAAACAAATTGAGAATAAAAATGCTTAAGTAATCACTTCATTATTTCAACAATGATTGATGCAGTACCGACGTACTATAAAGACATTGAGGTCGGTACTAAGCATCAGTATCTTAGATATAAAAAACCAGGCGACAAGTACGGAAAATATTATGTTAAATGCAATGAACTAGTAAAGCGTCCTGACGGAACTATATGCCACTGTGCAATGGAAGAAATGCGTGAGGATCATTTCAAAAAATGGATCCAAAACAAACGGCACATATGCACACCAGGAGAAGTAGCATCACAACAAACAATCGATCAATACTATCAAAACGTCCCAGCAACAGGGCTTACACCTATATCGTTAGGGGATATCTATGAACAGCTTGCTACATTTACTGGAAGATTTAACTTGGCTCTGAATACCTTCTCAAGCCCAGAGTTTACAAAGCTAGTTAAAACCATTATAATGTATACTGCAGACTCGATGATATTGAAGTTCCCACAGTTACACAATGTTAACATCAATGTTGATAAACTAGCTTCTCAAATATACCAGCCTATTTCAACTGACAAACTAAGGCAAACAATGATACAAATTGCAAATTCAATCCATGTTGCAAAAGTTGATGAGTTTGCTAAGCTTGCCTGTACCTGTGTTGCCATTGATGAGGGGAAGACTCAGCAGTTTCACAATCTGGACTTCTCCCTCACAAATCCTCTGCAAAGCAAGCGGCCCTATCCTGTTGAGTCAATCCAATGAATGAAATTGGATATCCACTGAAGATTATAACAGAATCTTCATTAGAGATGTTAAGATCAGCAGTGTAGTTTGCGATGGCAATAAAGCGCAATTGAAATGTTTTCAGAAAGGATGGAATCAATCGTTCTACAACTCAAATGACCCAAGGTTATTCAAAATCTTGTTTATCCCGTGTTTATGCCACAGGATTCATAATTGTTATCAATATATGACAACAAAAGACGTAGCATTAGGAGCAATTGTGAAACATATCCACGAAATATCAGCTCTTTGTAGAATCCATGTTGAAGACATCGGAGCTCTCTGTCCAAAGCATGTATCCACCAGGTGGATCTATGATTATAATATTTGTATGTTTATTATCAAGTATCAAGACAAAATTTCAAGATATACGCGTATTGATATTGAAAACATCAAGTTCTTAAGAGACTGCTTGGCAATTCTCAAGAAGCTTATTTCCACGTTCGAATCAGATAAAACCAAGATATCTGATTGCTACGTATGGCTTTGCAAGGGTATTGAAGCACTCCAATACCTTTCCAGCAGCAACAACAATCCTTTTGCTGGAATCCTTTCAAGATCGTTGTTGAACTATACCCTTGGATCGGACTTTGGAGGTCTTTGGTGCTTAGCCTTCGCTTTTACACCGAAAGGTAGGTATTATTTCAACCAAAAATTCGTCCACGGAGCGCAGATCAACGAATCTCCGGCAATTAATTCATTTGATATTACAAACGTAACTTTCGTTAATCCAGTAGAAGACATTCAATCTATCTATATGGACTCTATCTTTGAAGAAGGTTCGACTGAAGTTTCTCTTGATATGGTTGAGGAGGGATCAATTCGTCAGGTAACTGCAACAATTGACCCTCCTATGCTTGATCTCGCAGATGTAACATCTAGTTCAAATCAGCCGGTTAACCATTTTGTTGCAGCTAGGCAGTATCTCAAAAGTATTTTGGAACAATTTCGTATTCCGGGTCAAACAATAACAGATATTATTACACTATTTAACACGTATATTAATAGTGATAATGATATCTTCTCTGATGATATGATTCAAGAACGTCAAGAATACGGTTGGGAAGAAATCTCTCATAGAGATGGCAATGTATCAATCTTTGCAGATATCGCCCTTCGTGTTATCTCCGCTTCACCTTCAGAAGCAACATGTGAGAGAACAATAAAAGACCAAAGATTGATACTAAATTTGAAAAGATTACGTTCTCACAAAATTTTATTAGATAGCCGAGAAATTTTAATGGCTACAAAATAAATAAATTGTTTTATATTTTATCTGTTCAATATTTATCTCATATAAAAATTTGAAATACTTAATCAAAATTTCTATGTGTTTGTTTGAAAGAGATCGATAGCAATTCATATATCTTTTGAATTTGCTAATTGTGGTGATGGTACTATTATTATTAATTTTTTATTTTTATTTTTTTTTTATTTTTTTTTTTGATAATATACTATTTAGATTTATACATTCATTCAATATTATGAAATAAATATTTCTAAATTGATCTGATTAATTTTTCATTAAAGTTTATATTATCACCAAATAAATTTTCGAACCCTTAGAGTCATAGTTCAATGGTAAGAGTCATAGTATAATCGTAAAGTCCATTGGTTCGAATCATGGGGATTTTCACACTTTTTTCTTTTTTAAAATTTCAGAGGTTTATTTTTAAGGTTCTCGCTGGCGACCCCCGTTCGTCGAAAAAAAAATTTGATTTTTGCTGGCGACCCCCCAATCACCAATTTTTTTCGACGAACGTGGGGGGTCGCCAGCGAGAACCTTAAAAAAAACAGAATCCCAAAAAGGTGACATTTTGGGTGTATCGTCTATCCCAGGGATAGAAAAATGACTTCACCTTGGATCTATAATTATAGCATATCCAAAAGGCAAGGAAATCTATCAGAGAAGCCTTTTTGACCTATCGTTGCCCTACCTCTGCTTGAATAGTTACAGTTTAATTTATTGAATTTGACAGAAAATTTATATTAAATCGTACATAAGTATATTAAACCTAATGGATCCCTCTTCATAAAAATTCAAATTGAATGTTATATTTCTTCTTCAATTTTTCTTTATTTATCGGAATGCAAAGTCCTCCTTCTTTATCTCACTACAAATCTATGGCGCAAAATATTGATTGGTATATTGATGATGAAGCTTTTTTTGCTACTCGTTCAACAGAAGAAATAAGCAGAATTTTGGAAAATGTCACACTCAATCCAACACAGTTCATCAAATTATTTTCGAAAATATATTATATGAATGAATCTGCATCAATATACAATATTTTACAATCAGTTAAGCTGAAACTTGAATGTGATAAGACAACAGTTTGCAATGTACTGAAAACAGTGGCTGTTATTACTAATATAGAATTTTTCAACACAATTGCATATTTTATAAAGCATCCTCATTCAAGATCAAGCATCAAATCCAAAACAGAGATTCTATTACCAAAAATTGTTGGTAATATTGAAGAGAGTTCGACTCCAAAAGAAAGTGTTTCATATACTGCAAGAAATGATGATAATGCTGAGAATTGCTTGCGTCCAACTGAATCTGTAGATCAACCAGATTCAAATACCAAAAGCAAAAATCAAACAAACTCATCAAATGAAATTGATTCTGCATTGGAGTTGACCTCGATTTCAAACCAGCATGGAATATCGAAATCAACATCTTCTGTGACATACATAAGTCCACCTATCTTAGAAAATATACCTGCTGCACCCGAAAATCTTCGCAAACTGAGGACAATTGAGAAATCATCCGATAATTTTTATATTATATATGGAATTCTGTCAAAATCAATGAAAGAGAATGATGTAACAACAATCAAAGGCGCTGTTGATGAAGGTTATGATAAAGTGAGGCTCATAAATGAAAACAATATGATTCTTTGGGCCGCAAGAAACGGAGATCTTAATCTTGTCAAAACTCTTCATGAATTTGGATCGGATGTCAACAGTGTAGATGACTCCAGAAGAAATATTTTGCACAATTTCTGTATGCGTGGAAATTTGGAAGGAGTGAAATACGCAACAGAATTCTTTGACATTAACGAAGTCAACAATGATAATTCGTCTGCTTTGCATTTTGCTGCTTATAATGATCGGGCTGATGTTTGTGAATTCTTATGCAAACTTCCTAATATTCAAAAAAATATTCAAGATAGCTCTGGAAAAACTCCTTTAATGATAGCTAAAGAAAACAAAAATCAAAAGTGTATTGACGTTTTAACCAAGTTTGGTTGTTTATAATTATTTTAAAAAAAATTTTGAAAGTGTATTTAATGTTTTTCTGCAGGTATTCTTGAGAATACTCCTCCTATAGATATATGAGTTACTCTCAATGCATCCAATAATTATTAAGAAATCTAATAATAAGTTCGGATAGCTCTTTTGTGAGAAATTATTTCATTTAGTTGTGATCGAATAGTTCTTTTATTATGTAATGTGTTTGGATTTGATATATTGGAATTATATTTGCAATTTCTGATAGATTATCAAGATGTTTTGGGTGTAATATAGGTATCAATTGTTTTTTCGGATCTGGTTAGAAGATATGTTAATTCAAATATTTTGACTCGTAATTCTCCTGAAGAGAATGTGTGATATTTGAAGTCGCATATTTCCTCTTATGCATCTCAATAGAGAAAAAAAGCCTTGACCAAAAGATATTTTCCACAACTAGTGAAGGAACTATTTTTGAATGAATTTTGACTAAGTATGGGGATTTGTTATAAAATATTTTAATCTTCTTATGCATTTCTTCATAAACAAAATGTTCTTTAAGGGTGCACCCGTATGTACGTTTATTTGAGAGGAGGAGGATTACCCTCTCAATTTTGAGGGATTCGTTAGTTTATTTTCTCGATGAATATGCAATAAAATTTGATTTTTACCTTATCAATATACTTCATATAATATACACATGTTCATGTAAAAACTTTTTTCCAAAATCCTCAGGAATTAAGGGATTTTTGAATTTTAAGAATTTTTTTCGAATTTTTTCGAAAAAAAAATATTTTCAGAACAGCCTTAACGGCTAAGATTTAGGAACAATGTTAAGTATCAAAAAGAAAGGAGGTCTGATATAGACAACAGATATCGTTGAAGGTTGAAAAAATCTCTAATATTTGAGCCCAAAATTTCAAATTTTAATTTTTTGAAAAAAGAGGCCACCCGTATGTACGTTTATTTGAGAGGAGGAGGATTATATTTTTGAAAGGGTGAAACATTATGAATATGTTAATTATATAATAATATGTATTATTATAAAAAAGAAAACATAAAGCACGTTAAAATTTTTCTTTCTTGATTTTTTACAAAATCTACTTAGAATTATGCAAAATACGACTAAATAATTATAAATTTCAAGTTAAATTTTAATTTTGATAAATAATTTAAATTTCAAAATATCAAGTTCAGTTCGACTATGTATGTAGTAATTCCTCAATAAAGTGCCAAAACCCTATTAAAATATATGAACATTTTCAACATTTTAATGTTTTTATTTAAAAATTTGATGGAATATGAGCTTCAAACAATTATTATGTAAATAAAAATAATTAAATATATGTATTTATTCGTATTACAACCATAGTAAGTCGATTCTTCCTTTCTTCTACTGAGGTTTGAATTTGATTTCGAATTGTAAAGAGATTCAAAGGGAAAATACTAGCGGATAAAAACTACCTCCATGAAAGGGTCATAATGGAGTCAAGTTGTATTTTTTGATATTTTTTGCTTTTTCGAGCCTAAATAGGTAGCCAAGATAATGCCTAAAAATAAGGTTCTAAATTCTGAAGTTTACATGATCCTCTCGTGTGCACCCTTAAATTTTCGATATTCTTCTTCCTTTGGCTCTATTAAATATGTAACAGCATTTTCCAAAATTGGCATTAAATTCGGGTCTAGTTCAAGCCCAGCAGTTTGTGATAAACTCTCTAAATTATCGATCGGAAATTTATCCAAGTTATTATCAAAGGATGTTATTTGATCTTGAATATTATCAACAATATTAAGAGTTTTGTCTTTAATTGACGATACAAAAGATCCAATTCCGCTCCATAGACTCTTGGCAGGAGATGAATCTTTCGGAATTGAAACAATCATTTATGTTTCCTAAAAATGGTATTTTAATAAGTCATAGAGCTTCATGATCATATAACAAATCATATGTCATATAGATCGGATAATTTTTTTTTCTCAAATTATTGGATTAAATATTAATCCAAAAGATTTTCAAATCATAAAATAATCAATCCTTTGAATCATCGGTTTATCTCAAATTTTGAATTCATTGAATTTTTATATTTTATTTTATGGGAATTGCCCAAAGTGCAATTAATAGGGGATTCATTACTGACAGTGATGCAGCCAAGATGTCTGAAATGAGTTATTTTTCAGAACGCCAGATATTCATTTTAGCCCAAATTTTTAGAATTCTTTCTAAGGAAGCAGAAATTAATGCAGAAACATTCTCAAAAAACATGAAGATTAGTAACAAGAGTATAGGAGAAATATTATACAAAATTATTGATAATGATGGAAGCGGAAACTTAGATTTTACAGAATTTGTTGAAGGCTTGAACAAGTTTCATCCTAATACACCTTTTGATGAAAAAGTGAAACTTTGTTTTCAAGCATATGATAGCGATGGAAGTGGAGCTGTATCAAAAGAAGAAATTAGTGATGTAATAAAACTATCTATTCAAGGAAGTAGTTTAATTGAACTTGAAGATGCGCAAATCAACTTATTGGTTGATCAATTAATTAATACATATGATAACTCTGGTACTGGAGAACTTTGCTTCAAAGAATTTCATCAAATGGTTTCTTCTGCTCCAGGAGTTATAGAGAGTTTTGATATCAATCTTGATGTTTTATTTGGTTAAGGCATCATGTTTATCTCAAGAAGAGGCATGGCCATGTTTTATACCATTATATAATATTGACTATATAAAATTTCCATTTGTGAATGAATGCTATAGCATTAATTTTCATTTGTTTTCATTTATTTAAAGGTAGTTACAGTATTTATGTTTGATTTTCCCCATAAGGTGATATATTGAGAGGAAATCTGTCAAAAACGATTATTCTTAATTCAAAATTTTCGATACATTTTAATAAAAAATAAAATCGGTTTTAACATATTTAAATAAATTTAAATTAAGGATGTCAATTCAAAAAAAAAAAAAAAAAAAGGTATTGGGGCTTCCAGGCACTTCGTGCCCTCTAGCCCCGAAGATGTTTTGTCACTTTTCTGTCACTTTTCAGGGAAAAAACATTTTTATTAAATATAAAATGAATTTTACAAAACCACCGTTACCCTTCTTTGGAAATAAGAGTAGATGTAAAGATATTCTATTGAGAGAACTTAAGAAACTACCGAATGGTCTAACATTTGTAGATTTGTTCGGTGGAAGTTTCTATATATCTCATTTGTGCCATACTGTATTTCCTGACTCAAAGATTATATGCAATGACTTCGACAACTATATGAACCGTCTCAAACATATACCAGACACAAACAAAATATTGAGTGAGTTGAAAGAAAAGATACCTATAGGTAAGATGGAACGTATACCATTAGATAAGAAAGATATTGTCAGAGAGGTTTTGAAAAAAGCAGAGTATATTGACTGGGATAGTATATCTTCTAGACTATTGTATAGTGGTTCTATAAGAGTTCATGACATTGAAACACTTATGTCAAACGTTTATATCTTAACTATACAAAGGTTTTCAAAGAGAACATAGAAAAATATACTGAGGGTATAGAGTTTGTGAGATGTCATTGGACAGAGTTGTATGAAAAATTTAAAGACAAGGAAAATGTTTTCTTTATAGTAGACCCGCCGTTCTATAACACATATGATTTTCAATACCAAGTAGACTGGACTTTGAGAGACTCTTTAGAAACTTTAGACGTTTTACATAACCATCCATGCTTTTACTTTACATCCGATAAAAGTGGTTTGGAAAGTGTCATGAGATGGTTAGAGGATATACATGACTATGATTTTAGATACGATAAGATAGAATATGAGAGAGGTCCTATAAACCGGAAAAAGTGTCATAACAAAGAAATTTATTGGTAAGTAAATGTGGTTTGAAATAGGACTACTTTTTTAGGTTTTTTCCATTGTGTCATTTACTTATTTGACGTGGCAGAAAGGTACAGAGAATATGAAGATGAACCAATACCTGCAAATGTTCAGCATATGTACTCGTAAGAGATATTTTTATCTAATATTAAATGGACGCACAGAACTTAGCGAATGCACAGCAACCTGGACAACCAAACCCAGAGAATATTCCAAATGAAGTTAGAATACAAACTGCAATGGCAAACTATGGTCAAGTGCCAACAGATGTACAAATGCAAACTGCCATGTCAAATGACGCTGCGTTAGGCTTACCACCATGGTATGCAAATATGAGATGGAAAGAGTTTTATACAAACCCTGAAGTGGGATATAAACAACTCTATGCAGATGACGCGAACACAGGAGTTGACCCAGAGTATGTTTTCTACCAGAGGAGAAATAGAATGTATGAGCTCCAGTTAAAGAATGCTATGGAACTCAACAGGAAACGCAAAAGACTAGGTGGACATTAGATTTTTACATATAGTAAAATGGGTTTCTTTGGAAGAATAGGAAACTTCTTTCGAAATGTTGGAAGAGGTATATGGAATGGAATAAAATCTGTCGGAAGAGGAATTTGGAACGGTGTCAAAAATATTGGCAAAAGAGTAGGTCAGTTCGTTGGTATTATACCTAAAGACCCTGAACCAGAAGAACAAGCTCCTGTTATACAACAGCCTGAACCTGCACCACAGTCTAGTTGGCAACCAAATCCAACACCTCAACCGTATTAAAATTATATTTTTACCGTTCGATAGTAGTTGTATATGAGACTAAGTTCTAAGTAAAACGCATGGTATAATGGAACTATTCTCTTTCTTCCATCTGTTGTAAACCATACTTGAAAGTCTGAAATACTTCCACTTGGTGTTCATATAGCTTTGTAGGTTTTTCGTAAAAGTCATTTGCCAAGCATAAAAAAGAGTTTTGTGCACCAGAAAATGAAGCATGAACTATAATAGCATCTGAGTCGAAAACATTTTCATATGTTCCATTAGGGTTTTCGACTTCATAAAAGTTCGGGTGTACTGGATATTCTGCAGGCTGATTTAACATCCTCAAAAACTATACCATGCCAAGTTGTTATATTTTGTAGAAATATAAACGTCTTCTCCAAGGTCTTCTATTCTATTGATTTTAACAGTTGCATTTTTCCTGTCATATAAAATATCGATGTGGTACTCCCCTTCGTCAATGTTGTACTGTTTTGCATATTCGAGATAGATATCGTTTATTTTTTCTTGAAAAGCTTGAAGAGTTGTTTCTAAGTTTACAAGCAAACTAACTTGTAAAAGTTTTCCCTGTACAAATTTCTCATACGCACGTTTTTCTTTGTTATAGTATCGAACTTCAAAACCGACCGTAAATGGGAAACCATGTATGGCTTCTGAAATGAACTTCATTCTACGAAAGCCAATAGCTTTTGTGACGGATGGGTCTCTTAACCATCTTAGTGAGTAGTCAAAACGATAGCCTTCATGCTTTACGGTCTCTGTCTCAAACTTTTGACCGACATTCGTAAAAAGTTCATCTAATGGTTTAGTTGTAGCAACTCTTGAATTTTCTTTTTCTATTGAAAGCATATTTATCTAGAATAAAAATGTCGAAAGAAACAGCGTCTATGAGAGAAATACAACACAACCGACAACTCATTGTACAAGCTCTAAATAAGAACACAACAAACTTTTCAAACTATTCTAAGATATCTGAGTCATTGAAAGAAGGAAACTTAAAACTGACGATAAACCCAATGACAGACGAGTTTCTGTTTCAAGACAGTAAGAACCATACTGTTTGTATAAATCCAACAAAAAGAACTTTAAACGAGAAACCTATAGATGAACTTCTTTTGAAGGCAGATATTGACAACAAAGCTGACAAAGAGTATGTAGATGCAACAAGAGACTATATTCTCGCATGGACAGATAGAACATACCCACAAAAACATCATACACAATAACATCTATGACGTAGATGAACTTCAAGAAATGTTAGATGACAAAGCGGATAAAACATATGTTGACAAAAAAATGTCAAGTGAAGTGACAAGAGCTGACAAAGAATATTCTAAAAAGACTCATACACATACCATTGCAAATATTACAAACTTACAAGAAACCTTAAACAAGAAAAGTGACGTTGGACATACACACGATTTCTTCGCAACTGTTGTATAGAAAATATTGCAGGAACGGTTGAAGAACCTGATGGAACTGGTGGGGATGTATTAAATTGGAAACCTCCTAACTTTCCACAAGGTTTAACATCGGATGAAGACATAACGACGATGAAATACACTAGATGTAGAAATGTTTATGTCATGGAGGATGAAAACAAAGTTAAATTCACTGCTCAAGATTTATATGATAAAAAAGCAGACAAAACAGAGCTTCAAACGTTAAAGACAGAAATACTTCAAACACTATATCCTATAGGTTCTATTTACACGTCAATGAACTCTACCAAACCAGAAGTAGTACTTGGTTTTGGAACTTGGACTCAAATAGTCGACAGGTTTTTGTATTGTGCAAACTCTTCAAAGGAAACAGGTGGAAGTAAAACGATTTCAGGTGAAAACTTACCTGCACACAGTCACTACATAGATTTAAGTACATCTCAAGCAGGTTGGCATAAGCATAGATTTTGGGATTGGTCAGCAATGAAAAAAGGTAAAGGATATGATGTTAAAGACAACGTTCAGTTTGCTATAAATTGTTTCTGGGGTAGCACACAGGAGAAGGAAACCATACACATCGCGTTTCAGGGTATACGCAAACAACGGGACAGAGTAAAGACTACATGCCACCTTACATGACAGTTTACGCATGGTATAGAAATGCTTAGTCGTCATTTTCAACTTCTTTAGCATATTCGTCAGGAGTTGTCTTATATTTGTTAGGAACTGTCTTTGAAAGTATACCACCTTGAACCTTAACAAGTTTGAAACGAGGTCTGACAATAGTAGTTTTATCTTCTGCTTGCAGTCTGTACATTTTGCCATGTTTGCCTAAAACTTCATAATATTCTCTTGTATACTTTCTTCTATTTTTACGAACACGAACGTGAGTACCTGTCGAGTTCCCATTGTTGTCATAGTCAATAGTATTTTCATATGGGTCGCGTTTAGGTATTTCTATTTTTACTTTGTCACCTTTCTTAAGTTTGAAGCCTGGCATTCTTTCTTGTTTGTCTCTTTTGACTAAACTATTAAATATATAGTCTTTCTCTAAGTCGGGGTTGTTTTTCATTTCTTCAGGGGAGTGGTTTCCCAAACCTTTTTGTTTACGGCTATTGTAAATATTTAAAACTTGTCTCATCTTTGCCATGGAGAAGTGTCTATACTTGTCGTCATATGACATTTCATCTACCTCACCACCTTGTGGTTGATTTAAGTCTCTTAAGATTTTTATACAACTGTCAATGACACCAAGAGCAGAATGGTTTTGGTCGACAATGAAATATTGGTTTACATTTTTTGAATGCAGATAGTTTTTAATATCGTCTGATTTGAAAGAACTTTCACAGTCAGATGTCAGTTTTGTTGGATGGTATTTGTCAACGAATATTGTCAAAGCAGTTTTCACATCTAAAATATTTTTGGACCATAATGGTATGGCTTCACAGTATCTTGTGTTTTGACCAACAAATATTAGCCAGTATGGTGGTCCATCTTCTCTATACCTCGGAATGTTTTCCAAGATATCCATAAACCAAGCATTTGGTGTTGAACTAAAGATTTTTACCAT